TTCACAACTTTTGCAATTCCAACTTTCGAGACATCTAATTCGAAAATCTGGGATGAATGTAAAAAACATATCTCCATTAACTGCACTCGGGAAGTTGGTGGAAGTATTTTCAAAGGTGGCACCGTAACAGATGGTTGTTGCCATAAGCTTGTGTCTGTAGGCAAAAATTGCCATGCTTTATTCTTCAACTCTGCTCTTGCGTCTATACCCAATGTTGATAAATCTAAAGCTTTGGCAAAGAGTACACAAGTTTGGAATCGATGTGTTGGAATTGCACTCTCCCCCGCATCTTCTATCACAATTCCAAACACAAAGGCTTCAAAATCGAAAAAAGTGGATGAATGTAAAAAACATATCTCCACTAAGTGCGCTCGGGAGGTTGGTGCAATTATTTTCGAAAGTGGGAGTGTAACATATGGTTGTTGCTATGAGCTTGTGTCTGCAGGCAAAAGTTGCCATGATCTATTCTTTAACTCTGTTCTTGCCTCCAAACACATTGTCAACAAATCTAGAGCTTTAGTAAAGAGTACACAAGTTTGGGACCAATGTATTGAAATTACAATTTCTCCCACGCCTTCTATCGCAATTCCAACCCCAAAGGCATTAAATTCAGAGACCTTGGTTGAATGCAAACATATCTCCATTAATTGCGCTTGGGAAGTTGGCGGAAGTATTTTTGATGGTGGGATGATAACAGGTGATTGTTGCAATGATCTTTTGTTTGAAGGAAAAAACATGCCGTGATATATTCTTCAATGCGACTCTTTTGTTAAAACTCGATGTCGAGAATCCTAGAGCTTTAGCAAAGAGTACACAAGTTTGAAACTGATGTATTGAAATTACAACTTCTCCTACATTTTCAATTTTAGAACTGGAGAACTAAATTAATAAGAAATTATGTATGAGATATATGCTATGTTAAAGTATCATTTTTATTATGTTTATTACCCAAAAAAAAAATTGACTTCAACATGTTGTTTCGTTACGAACTCAATTTTGTTGTAATTAAGGTTCTTCAACAATTGAAAGACAAAATAGTACTATTTTCCACAGCAACCAATGACTCCATTCCGTTCTTTGTGAAGTTCAAAATATTACGAACCCTTTTTTCCGCAAAATAAGTTTACTCATGTATCTTTTTTTTATTGTATGGGATATACGTTTATGGTCGTCGTTTTGTTCGCATCATCAGCATTTCTTCGTCCTCATCTTACTTGTTTGCACATTGTACCTCAAAAACACTCAATCAGTCCAACCGACAACGAAAGAAGGCTTAAATATATTTGGAATATTTTATTCATGTACGCTAAATAAGCGTACTCATGTAATTAATTGTCACAATACTATCACAATTCGTTTTACCTAAAATTCTGAAGCTACTTTCTGCAAAGCTCCATGTAACCCAATCAGGCAGAAATCAAATATGTCAAGTGGGATTGACATGGTATGTACAGGAATTGTATTCTTTCTAATGCTTATTTACTGCAGTGCCCCCTGAAATGATGGTGAAATCTCACTTTACCCACTGAAAGTTAAAGTGACACTACTACAATTATGTTAAACTACGACACCCAAAAGACGACAGTTTTTGATGTTTTGAAAAACGACGTATGTTATAAAACCGTCATTGTAAAGTACCTAATACACCCATACATTGGGTTGATTTTAAAAAGACGACTGTACCTTATTAGAACTGTCGTGTTTTTAAGAGGCGCTAAACAAATATTCACTTAAGTTCACGGGCGCGGAGCTTTTGGGAAAACCCTCTCTCTCTCTCTCTCTCTCTCTCTCTCTCTCTCTCTCTCTCTCTCTCTCTCTCTCTCTCTCTCTCTCTCTCTCTCTCTCTCTCTCTCTCTCTCTCTCTCTCTCTCTCTCTCTCTCTCTCTCTCTCTCTCTCTCTCTCTCTCTCTCTCTCTCTCTCTCTCTCTCTCTCTCTCTCTCTCTCTCTCTCTCTCTCTCTCTCTCTCTCTCTCTCTCTCTCTCTCTCTCTCTCTCTCTCTCTCTCTCTCTCTCTCTCTCTCTCTCTCTCTCTCTCTCTCTCTCTCTCTCTCTCTCTCTCTCTCTCTCTCTCTCTCTCTCTCTCTCTCTCTCTCTCTCTCTCTCTCTCTCTCTCTCTCTCTCTCTCTCTCTCTCTCTCTCTCTCTCTCTCTCTCTCTCTCTCTCTCTCTCTCTCTCTCTCTCTCTCTCTCTCTCTCTCTCTCTCTCTCTCTCTCTCTCTCTCTCTCTCTCTCTCTCTCTCTCTCTCTCTCTCAACTCTCTCTTACGTTTAGGGTTTATGAAGCACCATCTCCGTCGCGCCGTCCAGGGCACAGAACTCGTCGAGATCACCATCTCTGTCACGCCGTTCAGGTCACGGAGGTCACCATCTCCCTCACGCTCTCCATGTCACCAAGCTCTTTGAGCTTGCATCTCCCTCGTGTTACTTCTGTTTCCAAATTCATGTCTTAGAGTTTTGTTGCGGGTTTCGTTGAACATCTTCAAGGTTAGTCTCCTCACCCCCCCCAACTCTCTCTCTCTCTCTCTCATTTTCTCTAATTCCCAATTCCATATAGAGAAAAAGGTATTCTAGAGTAAGGGTTTCGATTTATTTGGGCTGTGGAAATTTGTTGTGGTGAAGGATTTGAAAGGATTGGCGACGTAGTAGCCAGAGTTGGTCTGTACAGAGACGACATCGAATTAGTTGCTGCCCATGAGTTGGAAGGATTATGCAAAACTAATATTTTTGAAGGTCTCTGCGTTTGGTTTTTTGTAAGTTTTTAGTATTTCTTTATTGCTTCCAATCTAATATTTTTCACATACATTATCTTAGTTTCTCTCTTATTTATTTATCTATTATTTCTATATAGATGTTCATCCTACTCTGTTTTCCAGAAATTGGGGTTAAATTTGAATTATGGCTGCAATAGAAGAAAAAGACTAGGTCTAACTGTCAAATACGAGTGCCTTCAATATTATTCAGTTTCAGTTTCAACCTCCATACCATATTTGTATAACCAATCTATGGTTTAAAAGATTTGATTTCTCTGATATTTATTTCCTTGAAAAGTTGATTATATTTTGATATATTTATGAAAGGTTTGGGAATTTAATTTATCAAGTTAAGATGTTGATTGTCTCCAAACAAGAGGATAGAAATGGATGTCATGAAGTTGTAAGTTGTTGGTTACTGTATTATCTCCAACCTTTGTAATCTGGGTCTTATGTTTCTTAAGACTAGATTCCTCCCTTTCGGTATACCAAAGTAGTCTTTTTGGTACAAGTACTTTAAATCATGTTGCTGCCTTCCTCTCTTGTACAATATAAAGCTATGTTTAATGTCTTTTTCAATGTTTTTAAGGATGATGAGTGACTATAATGTGGAGACAATAAATGGAAATTTTTTCATCTTTCTTTGTCTTTTGGTAGACATTAATTGAGTTTGCTCTTAGATGAATGCGTTTTGGAAACTAATGTTTCCTTTTTCTCCACTAGTCTTTTAGTGGCTGAGGCTCTAATGCCTATTAGCTTTCGTTTAGACATTGTTTAAAACACGTTTTGGTATAATATACTCTATGTGATGCGGTGGTTGCAGGTCTTTATGAAGGCGGGGTTTGGAAAATCCGAGTTGAGCTTCCCGTCCCGATGCATATCCATATAAATCTCCTTTTATTGGCTCCATGATCAAGATTTTCCACCCAAATGTGTTGATAAGCTGTGAGTATTCTGCAGTTTAAAAAGCAAATCACCTCTCATTACATCTGAGTAGAATTATCTTCTCTAGGATATTTTGAGTTCTAATTGTTACTAGTATCCGGCACATTGGGTCAAATAAAGGCACAAGTATTAAGTTTACTTAGAATGGTGTAACATACTGTTGATGATTATCAAATACTTTGAATAAGTTTGTGGAATTGATGACGTACTTTCTTTCCTATTTTTTTAGTAAGCAGCTGGAACTTGAGTAATTGGTTATTTGTTTGGGGAATGCTAGCAACCTTCTCTCTAACTTTCTCCATTTTTTGCTTGACATGTGTCATTCTCCTTACACTTAAAACAATGTTATTAATATATTATACAAGCTAACTTTTGCTTTCCAAGTTTACCCTTATTAAATGTATTCAATTTATCCACACAAAAATTCACAACTTTCTTACCATCTTATTAATTTTTTTTTTCACGTCAATTATTATTATTTTTTTAAATGTCTACTTTTTAAAAAAAGAGGAAATTTCCCCTTCTCTTTTTTTTTTTAAAAAAACACAAAGGGTTTAGATAGAAAAAAAAAAGTCTAAACTTGACGTGATAAAAAGGGGCATTTTCTCTTTTTGTAAAAAAAACAGACATTTTCTTTAAAATAATTGACGTTAAAAAAAATAATAATAAGATGGTAAGAAAGTTGTGAAATTTTTTTGGATAAATTGAATACATTTAATAAGGGCAAACTTGGAAAGAAAAAGTTAGCTTGTATAATATATTAATAACATTGTTTTAAGTGTAAGGAGAATGACACATGTCAAGCAAAAGATGGAGAAGGTCCAAAGGAGAAGGTTAGAGAGAAGGTTGCTAGCATTCCTCTATTTGTTTTTAATTTTCTATGACCTGACTGATTTGTCTTTCCCGAGTAATTGCAGATCTAGTTCTGTTCTGTCTACGTAGATGTAATTAACCAATCATGGAGTCCAATGTTCGGTAATTACAAGTGTGTACTGCATGCTTTAACGCTGTAGTGTTGGTTATAAATGTTTATAAATCATAATGTGGAATTGGAGATGAGACTAGTGCTTAATTGAGGTTTAATTTCTTATTTCTACCTACAAGTCATTGACTTGAGATCTCTCCTCCTTTTATTATCGAATTTCTATCTACTTTGCAAGATGAATACTTTACTGAAGCTACAATTGCTAAATATTTTGTAGAAAGAGAACATCATCACTCTCTAGTTCCCAACATTCGATTTGATGAATTCTCTTTAAACTTTAATTATATATATCAATCTCATTACTGAAAATTAATTGTATCAGTGGTACACTTGAGATCAAATGTTCAAAGGATAATCAAAATTCAGGGGCTCATTGGACCATCACATCTTTGGAGAAGGTTAGACAATTTGGTCATTTAGAACTTGTTTTTATCTACATTGATAGCATAGTGATTAGAATGAAATATATTTGGATCAGATTTGTATTTGTGGAGTTTGATGTTAATTTTGCAAGTCTCGTAGGACCTGCTGTTGCTGATATTGTTACAAGGGAGGGGAAATACAACTTGAAAAATGTGCAAGAAGGCAGAGCTAAGTCAACCCAAGAACAAATTGATGAATTTCAGATCACATTAGTAGAATTTGTTAGCTCCTTTATTTCTAATTATAGGTAGGAAGTATGAATGTAATAGAATAAAGATTGGTTGACTATGTAATAACTATTGAATCTTCAAGTTTTATGAAAGAAATAATTTTTAAGTGTATATATTCGTTAATAAAGCATTATAATTGGTTTTCTAGTTAAAAGTGTTGTATAGAATTATAAGAGACAAAAAACTATAATGTAACAGCTTGGAAACTTATTGAAAAATCGCCGTTTGTACATATAATCAATGACCTTTTTAACACTATGTCGTCTTCTTTATATACAATTAACGACTATTTTTAACAAAATACCGACTAGTACTTAGAAAATTAAGGATATCAACTTTTTTTTTCCCTCCAATTTCCCCCATATCGTCTAAATCCTCAACATTTCATCCAATTTTCAGTTAAATTATTTTTAAAAATTGAAGAAAAATAAGAAAATTGACCACAAACCCACCAAAAAAAAGAAGAAGAAGAAGAAGAAGACACTAAACTAGCAACCCTATCGCCCCCCTCCCCTAGCTCTATCTCCTCTAGCACATCAACCCCATCACAACACAGCCAACTTCTTCAAGGTATGGCTCTCAATCTATCTTTGTCTATGTTACTGCTTTGCCACTGCCAAGTTAGTCCCCAAAGGTTGCACAAGACTCCTTTGTTTGCTTCCAATTGTGTGTCTCTTTCTCTATCCTCCTCTCTTTCTCTCCTCCATGATCTTGTGGGCGTTACATCGTTTTTCATTTCTTGGCTTGCCAACTTCAAGCTCTTCCTCTTGGCTTTTGGTAAAGGACCTTTGTCTTTTGACCCATCAATCTCTCTTGGTCGCTTTGTTGTTGTTGCTTGCCTTCCCATCAAGATCCAACAAAACAACCCACCCCAAAATTCATTAGGAAAACACAAAAACACCCAAAATGATTCAATCCCATCTTTACCACCAAATCAAAATAACCAATTCAAAGAAAACTCCTCTCCAACAAAATCACACTAAAATACCCAAAATGAAAATAGCCAACAACAACACAAAGAAAACCCACCTGCAAATCACCAAAATGGTCCCCAAAAATCACATATTGATGGCCAATTGAAACTAAACCAACATCCATCTCCACCAAAATCACATATTAATGACCAAAACAAAGAAAACCCAGTTACCCCAAAAGCCAAAACAGGGCCATAAAGTCCCTCTAAATTATGTAACAAAGGGTCTGCTTTTTGGAATTTTGTTGCGTGCCTATGATTACAGTGACCAAATCCATCCAAAGGCCCTATTGCTTCTCTATTCTTTGCACATATACTTGCTCCTCGTACTCATCCTAGCCGTCACTGCAACCCTGGCTCGAGCCCTCCTAGCCATCGAGCTGGAGCCACAATTCAACAAGCCCTATGACCCACTGTTTACTAGCCCACCCTCGACATCCCCTGATGCGTCATTAATCGCAACTAGGCACCACTGCCCGTAGTGCTCGCAACTAGTATACCTTTAATTTAATTTTTAATTTTTAATTTATTTTTAATGTACAAAATGACCATTTTTCCCTCATTTTTAACAGCAAATTGGATGAAATGTTGTGGATTTAGACGGAGGGGTGAAATTGGCGAAAAAAAGAAGTTCATATCCTTAATTTTCTATATAAAAAAAAAGGATAGGGGGTTAATTGAAAGGTAGGTACAAGTTCAAGAGGAAAATCACTAGTATACCCTTAAAGAATTTAGGGATTTATGTTCTCTATTATTTTCAGGTTGGAAAACTGTTGTTTTCTAGAAAATTTCTAGTTTTTGTGTTTGATTACTTTTTAGTTTGTCAAAGTCTGAGTCATGTTTTCATTGGAGGTGGGTGCAAGAAGGAGAGAGACGGAGAGGAAGGGGTTGTGATGGTGGGCGGTGAGGTAAGCCCGCTCAGGATAGGGGAGTATAACAACGGGTCCCACTCGTGCCACGTCAATGTTTTTAATAGAATTTTTTGACGGACTTGACAACGGGAGTAAAGGGAGACCTAAAACATCGATTAAGGGGGTACTTTGGGCCACTTAAACTTTTAGAGGATAAAGTGAGATTTGATCATAGTTTTAGGGGGCACTTCAGTAAATAAGCCTTCTTTTAACCATTAAGGTACATACATCAACTGGGAAACCACAGATGCTTCCCGTTCGGTAACATTTTTAGAGAATGTTTTCTTAAAATATTTTCAGAGAATGAAAACAAGAAAATGAATTTGCATTTTCAAGAAATGAAAATGCGTCTAGTAGATTAATAGAAAACATCTTCAGAAAACAAAAACAATGAAAACGTGTCTGGTAGTACAATTTGAAATAATAATATGTGAGTTATTTTTATGAAAACGTTTCCCATGAGAATGAAAATAACTTTTTTCTGTTTTCTACAAGTACACATGAACTTGTTTTCATTTTATGAAAGCATTCTCAGTGTTTTCTGTTTTTGGGCCACCGAACGTGTTTTTGCCTCATTTTTGTTCTCTGAAAATGAAAACAACCCCTTAAAACATTACCGAACGGGCCCTAAGTAATTTATTTTCAGTGGAAAAGCTCAACAAATTAACCTCTCTGGTGCGTTTCTATCATAACATTCTAAGTCTTCAATATAGTGATTGCCGGTGCCGATGAATGAATTTAAATTAGGGGACATCTTCCACTATTAAGAGGTAGCTCCAAGTGAATATTCCTTTCAAATTAGGACACTACTTCCCTCCTTACCTGGAAGCAACCAAGTTAAAAGCTACCATGGGCTCTAGCGAGCCTTTTTTGAAAATTAAAATATAGTAATTGTATTTTAGTGTGATTTTAGATTAATTTGCTTGCTCAATTAAGAAATAATCGCTTAGTAATACTCATGACTTTAACTCTCTACCTTTTCCTAGTTTTTTCCTATTGTTTTCTTAATTTGTTTTCACCAATATTCATTTTAACGACACCCTTTTCAATTAGGTAGTCCAAAGGGTGGGTGGTGCTGTTCATATGAAGAATGAGATTATAGCAATTTCTATTATTGTCTACATTGAAAAATAATTGCTGACAATATCGATTCATACACAATAACAAAATATTTTAATTCTCTCAAGGATCATAGGGCACAACTTGAATATGTACAATTTCAATTTTGTTGTTGAACATATTTTCATTTTGATACTATGTGTGTTTTTGGGTGCATTTCACATGTATTTATTTTATGTTAAAGCTTATTGGAAATTAGTCTATGAAGCTATGAACTAACGTAGTTTATATGCTTTAATATATATTTTATTTCTAGAAAAACTAGAAAGTACAAGAAAAATTATCATTAGATTTTAAGCCAATAACTTTAGCTAGCCCACCCGTTGAAAAATTCATAGTTCCACCATTGCCTAGAATGAGGCATTCCTACTTCAATTATAATAGTTAAATGCCAATAAAGATACAAGAAATTTATGTTCAGTGACAGTTAGTGGCGGAGCCATAGTGGGGTCGTCAGGGTTGCACGACCTCTTGGAAGCCATGGAAATAGGCTTGGATGTCCCTTGGAGCTGCTGGAGCGACCTCTTGGAGCTGCACACCAGGTGCTCGACGAAATCGCTGAAAGAGAAGGCACTGTGCATCTGTCTTTTTTATTTTTTAAAACAACTCGGGCAAAATGACACTGTTTTGGGCCAGATTATTAAAGTACCCACTAGCGTATTCCCCCGAACCCAACAAACATTGTGTATGCAAAGAGTCTACAAAGTTGGCAACCATAAGATGAAACAGCAGCATAACTATTACTAGTTTCGAGAGCATGCCAATCGATACGTTCCCCATAATGTTTTGATATGTTTTGTGTGCAGTCTTAGCTAAAGAATCATCTATGGAAGTTAAAGCTGGAGAGCTATCTATTTATGAACAGGCATGATCAAATCGAATGGTTGAGCGATAAACATATATGTGTTTGACTTCAAGTCAAGTAGCAATGCATTTTCATCAATAAAAAAGTGATGGGAAAAAAGTAAAGTAGCATGATCAAATGGCCACACTACTACAAAAAGAGAAAAAGACGACCAGAAAAAGACGATGGCATAACATAAAACCGTCGTTGTATTTAAACCGACGACGGTATAAAAAAAACTGTCGTGGATAAGTGCCTTACTGTTGAATATTTTTAAAAGAAGACGCATACAAATAAAAAAGCGTCGTTTTTAAAAAAAGGATTTCTTCAGAGTTAAAATCTGACCAAAAAACAACGACAGCATGTATGAATCCACCAACGTAGAAAGTAAAGACGACGGTTTAACAAAAAAGCTGTCGTGTTAACTCCTAACTAAACACGACCAACTGTTCTTAATTCGCGGCGTATAATATAATGGAATCCACGTCTGTATACTACGACGGTGCCTTCTTTGAAAACAGCCGTCTTAATTTTTATTTCTTTTTAAGCTTTAATTATTTTTTAATTTTGGTAGCCTACGAAAATTAAAATGAGATCCCAAGAGGTATGATATCTTACCTTTGAGATCTTTGGATCCTGATGATGTATGTGTGTATGTGAGAGAGGAAGACGAGCCTCCAGAGAGACCAGAAGAACTTGGAACCCTAAATGAAAACTGAAACTGAAAGAAAGAGTCAAATTTATACAATAAATCTTTTAAACTTACGGCGGTGCTTATAGACATACCGCCGTGTAATTTAAAAAACCACGTCGGTTATTCTTTAATGGAATCCACGTTGTATAATTTTATGGAATCCACGTTGTATAATGTAATGTAATACACGTCGGTATATTACAAAAAAACGACGTGTTAAATAATATACCATGACGCGAGAGATTAATTTATCGACTTATTATTTTGGAGTATACTACGACGGTACCTACAACACTACTGTCG